AATAGGAAGGATCATAAGTGATGTTTACATGTGCATATATTTTCACAGACAATATGGTATTTCCAGTACTATAACGTCGACAGAGAATGTATGTGTTAATTGGAACTGAAGAGTTTGAGTGTCGTGATGAATGTTTTGATGTTTGAAAGATTTAGTAACATGTGGATGTTATTAGAGATGAACATATTTTGCCAACCATTTTGGACCCTACATGTTCGAAGCGGAAGAGCGCCCACGTAAGATTTGATTTGAGTCAACAAAAGAGAAAATTACTCGCAAACAAAAGGTAAACAAGAAATGGTGATGCAATGAAGATAACGAAGATCCATGTCAAATGTCAAACAACCCTTCGAGCATTTTGGAGTTGGCACTGGAGAAAAAGAAGTTCTAAGTCAAAGGTCAAACAAGCCTTCCAAGCGTGTTCGAGTTCCAACGCAGGCATGGGAAGTTCTAGATGAGGATGGGGTTTTTGAACTTACCATTTTAAATCTGAACTTCTGTTTAGGCTTTCCATAAGTTTGAAGCTTATGGTACCCATTTTTGTGTATAAATGGTTTTGCATTAACTCGTGTAGTCATTCAACCTTCACTAGAAGTAGATAGTTTTGTCACAGGTTGTTTGTCATAATATGTACATGTTAGTAAGTTTATTAAAAAATTAGTTTTATGTCATATTATTTAAGTTTCTATTTATCATTACAAATAAACACATATTGTCTGTTACTTAGCAGGTAACCTTGTGGAAGGTCTACCTATGAAATTTTTTATTTCCATTACTTATGTCATATTAAGACCTTTGTATTAGTAATCACATATTTTGCATTTGTATTGGTTAATATAACACATATCTCGCATCCACTTTCATAGACACTGTATGCCTTTGACATTCCCTTGAATAGTTAAATGACATGAAATGTTTGTGACATTGGTTTTAATGTTTGTCATATTTCACATATTATAAAAGCAACATTAGTCTTCTTAACACTACTTAATGACACATAATATTTTTGTGTCTAACGAAATACACACCTAGTGTTTTTATGACCAAACATTTCTTATTCCATTTGTTTCTTTTTTACACTATGAGAGAAATTGTGAAATGCTCTTATTACTGGAATATTTGACATGTGAATTTTTTTATACAAGTTACACAAAAAATTAATACATGTATTTAAATAATTACAAATGCATAATGTTTGTGTGATCAAACAATTTCAAATTACATGTTTTTTGTTTTTCTTGTTCCAAAAATCATGAAATGTCCTTTTAATTAGATTATTTTGCATATTTGATGTATTGAGTATGTTTTGTCACAAATGTATCAAGCTAGTAACGCGTTATAAGGGGGCTATTGTCAATGAAGAAAATAGAAACAACCAACACGTTGACAATATGTAGAATTCACTTCTACATGTAGAATTCACTTCTACATGCAGTTAACATTGTTAATTCCACCATTACAGTATGTTCTTAATTTTATAATTTTTAAAAAATTTATTAAATACCAAGGCCAATCACCCATGCCAAAATCCAAAACGGGCTCTTAACATAGTAGAAATCCAAAAGCAACCATCTCCAATCTTCTAATGTTCAATCTTCCACGCCAAAAGCAACCACAAGGGAACACGAGTCCAACCCTGAAACTTGACAAACAATTAAGAAATATCACTTCGTTTGGAACACATTTTAGAAGCCATTGGAATCAGATGAGCAGATTTGAGGGATATTGGTAAACTTTTGCGGAGATGATAGTGTCTATTAAATGTGTTATAGACATTACGTGTTTGTAAGATTTTCTTCAAAAACATAAAATATCTGTGAGAGTGTAAAAAACTATCTAGACCTCTTGTCACAAAACATTCCAACCAATGTGAAATCTGAAAAATATTTCAGCTTACTAAGAAATCTAAAAACATTCTACACATAAACTTTACAGAGACAATGTGAACTAGTGACAGATTACCTCATAGACATTCACTATCCTTGAGTTGACATATGTTTCAAATACATGTCAAAAGCAATGTAGCTATCAAGACAATGAATAAAAGATCCAATAAGAAGCACTTTAGATACTTTTTATTGCAAGTTTTGAAACTGAGTAGACACTTAACTGGAAAACAGGCATTCTACGCTAGTAATAAGCACATCACAAACATTGTAGAGTAATTTATCAATCAGAGTAAGTTCTTTCTTAGAATACAGACATTTTGTGCCAACAAGAAGCACATCATAGACATTTCAAAGCAAGTTATGAAATTGAGCAGACTCTTAAATAAAATACAAACGTTTTGCACCAATAACAAGCACTACACAGTCATGAAAAATTCCCTAATTACCACAAATATTTAACAATAACCCAGCCATTGAAAAGATTAAAAAAAGAATTATATGACTGAACAAGTTTGAGAAACAATTATTCACAAAAACATTTAAAAAAGATTAATTTCACAAGAGGGAAGGATTGATTTGTGGTTAGAATTGAATGATTGAATTTAGCTTTACAAATAAAAACCCTAAAATTGAAATAAAAAGTGTTTATTACAGCCTTTAGTTTGCTGTTGTTCGGTGGTCAGGGCGCAGAAGATCGAAGAAGATGAAGGATGAAGTCTTCGCCAAGTTAGATCTTCCACTGATGCACCAGGCGGAGGAAGGCGAAGTAGGCGATGTCACTGCGGAAGAACGAGGAAGACGAAGGAGGAAATCTGGGAGAAGGGTTGGTCTTTCGGTAGTTGCTCGCTCCCTGGTCTCTCTCTCTCTCTCTCTGAGAGCAGGGGAGGGGAGGGGTGTAGAGAGAGAAGAAAGAGAGGGGGAGGGGTATATGGTGTACAAACGGTGTACACGAATGGTGTACACATAACCTTTTCCTTTCTCATTTAAAGTAAGGGAGATGCGGTACACCAAAGGTGCACCCCAAATGTACACCACCTCATTCTTTATCATTCATTTTGTTTTTTTTTGTTTTTTTTTATTTTTTGAATTTTACTTGCCTTTTTATGTGGTTGTGGAGGGGGTGGGGACATTTTGGGGTACACCTTTAGTGAAAAGGTGTACCCCTAGCACTATCCCTGCGTGGCAGGGATAATTGCTTAAAATTAAGCAACATTGCTTCCGTAAGCAATTGTATCTTATTAACAAAGTTATTGTTTCAATTAAAAAAAGAGATAACCGACAACAATTATTATTATTACTATTATTAGTTTATTGCTATTTTTACTATTATTACTATTATTATTACCACCATTATTATTAGTATTACTATTATTGTTACTACTAATACTCCGTACGTATTCATGATATTATAATAATAATAAAAGAATATTTTGTTGGCACAAATATACAATTTCATTCAAATTTAAACCATTTGTGGTATCTCATTGCTAACATTTTTACACAGACCTACAATATTTCTTGTTATCAAATATCAACCATTACTATTATGCTAATGAAAAATCAGTATATTTTTTCATGAACAAAAACAACAAAAGAATCATTTTTATGAGAGAAACGATTCTTGAGGGATCTTTAAAAATAGGGAGTAACATATTTAATTAATAAATGAGTAAATATAGGATTGAGTACAAATTTAAAAATATATGAAATTGTGAGTTGTTTAGCATTCTTTCCATTAGAATAAATTAAGTAGTTGCTTAAGCTAATATGGCATTGTGGAGACTATTTAAGATACAAAATGTATGTATCTTAAGCTCTCTCATAAAAGATGTTCTCAAGAGCTTACCATTAAAGATGCATGCTCTAAACAATTTGATTAAGACCTTCTTTAGGAATAGTGTTCTCGATGAATATTAGTGTTTTTGGTAAAATTTTAATGAAGTGGATTAATTCTGAAAATAATAACGCTAACACTAACCTTTAAGAGCATCAACAATGGCGTGAGAAATTTTTGACATGGTTGCCACATATGCTGCCACCTCATTAACTGCCATGATGGGCAATGACAAAGCATTCCACTCTTCAAATTGTGGCATGAGTGTGTCAATGCTTGAGTTTGTTTCTTATTTTTCATTTTCTTTTTAATTTCTTTTTTTTGAAATTAAATTTTTTCTGTTTATATTTTTACCTTTTAAGTTCTTATGATAAGTAAAATAATTTTTAATAATTAAAATATATAAAAAAAATTAAAAGTGGTAAAAGTAATGACTTGCCACTGCAGAGTTTGTCACTCACTCAGTTGCCACACAGTGACTAGACTATTTTTTATTGGCCAAATAGCGCTGATACCCCTCGTGGTTTGCAAAATAAGCACCAATTCCTCCTCTGTTTTCAAAACTCATTTCCAAAGTCCATGTGGTTTCAAAATGTTGCACCCGTGCCCCCTCTGATAATTTTCCGGCCATTTTTCCGGCGAAGAAGGGGGGCATTGATGCATATTTTTTAAACCATAGGGGGTATCAGTACTTATTTTTATTTCTCGCATATTTTTTGTTTTTTCCATTTTTTCCTTTTTTTGTTTCATTTATTAATAAAGGTTTAAAATTTAAAGTTATTTTTGTTTGAACTTTCCAAAAAATTATTCCAAGTAACAAAGAGTGAAATTGTTTAATTTGAGATAGATGTAATATATGTTAATTTTTTTATTTTTATTTTCATTTCAAACACAAAGAATTTGAAAATTTTTGAAACATTATAAAAAATTGAAAATATATTTTAAAAAATCTAGGAAAAGGAAAAAGAGATAGAAAATATTTAAAAAAATAGGAAGAATAATAAACAAAAATAAGAAATGAGCACGAATGCCCCCCTATGGTTTAAAAATTATGCGCCAATGCCCCCTATTCGCCGGAAAATGGCTGGAAAATGATTAGAGGGGGTGTGAGTGCAACGTTTTGAAACCACTGGAATTTTAGAAATAAGTTTTAAAGACAGAGAGGTTTTGGTGCCAATTTTCCAAACTAGAGGGAGTACTGGAGTTATTTGGCTATTTTTTTATTAATGGTAATATTCCTGATTGCCTGTGACATTCTATTTATTTTTGCCGCACCATTAAGGCTAATGCCACGGATCAAAAAACGCAACCCATCTGGCTTTGCATACGGAGTATTTAGGAAATGGGAGCACTGTAGATTTTGATACCCGGTAACGAACCCGCGACGCCATCGCACCAAAGCAAATACTGAACGCAACTTCAAGAAAGGCTGACGAGGTGAATCTTCTTACACTTTAGGCTAGACTTGATTGAGATCATCCGTCTCATGCTTGATTCTTCTTGTATATGGTTTCTGGCAATCAGTTTATAATTTCTCAGTTGTCTTTTCATCCTTGGTATGAATGAGTAGGAATTCGTTTCAGTTGATCGGGTAGATGGTTTAGTTATATGGAAGTGTTTATTGAACTGATTTGATTTCAACTTCCGCACTATCTTCCCTTGGTGTTTTCTTGATGAATAAGTGATGCAGAACAATGAGATTGCCGGAAAAAGGGATCTAGATGCATTGGAAGTTTTACGAAGAGAAGGAATTTAGGGATAATGTTCATAATTTCATTTCTTGACCCATTTTTTTTACAGTACAAATACATATTTTTTTCATCAAATTTGGTAGGTTCCAACCAAATATGGGAGGAGCACATTTCCGAATGGGAAACTAACATTAGATTAAAGTAAAATAACAATAGGTAACTAATTGTCATGGAGACATAATCTTCTGTAACAGAGCATTCCTCCTTCCACAGCCTTGTCCTCAAGGCTGGTTATGGCTCAATAGCTCACTTTTTTTATATACTCAACTCTGTTCTGTTGTGGTGATCTCTTTACTCCATCGGGAAAAAAACCCATGTCTCAGGTGAAAACATGCTAACCCCACTCAAATAGTGTCAGACCTTTGTATAACCTATTACCTACAATCGGATCCTTGGGGATGTAGGCTTTGTACATTCTTATAGCAGCTCTTTTATGAAACTGAACCTCATTGAACACAAGCTGGGTACTGAGGCGTTGCTCCTGAACAACAAAATTGGTAATCTGAAGGTTCACTTGGAAAGGAAAATATTGAAAGGACTTTTTAAACCATCCTCTAACTCTGAGATAAATTCAAAGAGTAGAGTGTCAATGGGGCTCTTTAAACCATGTCCAGACTCCAGACTCTGCACAGTGATGTTAGCAGCAACACTACTCCTGGATCGAAGACCACACTTCTATAGCTTTGGTTGAACACAATGAATCACCAAAGGTGTAAGTCTTTTTCCAGCTCACTAAGATCAAAAGTTGTAGAGCTATAATTTATAGTCCAATCTGACCCAAGTTAATTCCTAAGTGTTTTCCTCAATTTTTCGAGCAAGCTTTTAGGAAGCAACTCTAGGAACATTTTGCACGAACCAACCCTTTACGAAATATAGTGAAGTTAAATACTGAATTGTCTCCACCTTCTCTATGTATAATGACCATATTTTTTATAATCATTTTACCCATGTCTATCTCAATGAAATAAGGTAGCTGATGCTTTTGCTTATACAATTTGGCCACTACAATTGCATATATAAGAAGCTTGTTCCAGTTCACTATAATATATGCTGTAGAAGCACCAATAGTGAGATAAGCCCATTGTAAACAGCTCTGCAGCAGTCCATACTCAAGTATGTTGTATAATGGCTCATTGGATGTCACCTCATTATCAGGTAGATGAACAAAGCCTCTGAAGCATAACTGCATAATTATTGCCTAGTAGCTCTTTGGTAAGTTTGGTGTGCACTCTTGATTCTTTCCACTTTGCATCCTCATGTGACATCTTCTTCACTACCATCCTTGATCACGCACAAGTGTTTCGAAGTCTTAAAAGCTTGATGTATTGGACAAATATTATTGTATCTATGTTTCTGGCCCCACTTTATAACAATGTGGAATCTCATCTAATAGATTTCGGATATCCAAGTTTTGTTCCCACTCCTCAACCAAGTTGAGTTATGAGCAACCACATTCCCAATTCTATGCATGAAGTATAACACTTCTTTTCACTAAATCCATCCATATTATTCATAATTAATTTTCATCCTGAGTCACATGAAACCCAAGATACATCTGATATCAAATCTAGACAACAAGGCACAACTTCCCCTTTTGTTGAGTATTTCATCTTTCAACAAATAAACTGTGAGCATATCCTAGCCAAACTCTCCCAGGAAATATAGAATAGAATTCAGACATATGCATGTATTTAAAAGTGATGAGCTTGTCAGTTTTTGAGTTTTCCACTTTACCTCCATGATAACTTCCCAACTTTTGGGTGCAACTTCATCAGGCATTTTGTCCAACATCGGAAATGCGTCAACTTTAGCTCCGATTTCAACATATGAATGGTACTTATTCATATCTCCAACTTCATTTACTACTATGGAGTGAATTTTCCCATCACTATTTGCAGCCAAACTGTGGTGCATGCCTGTCTTCAATTTCAAATGAAAGATCATCCGGAACACCCAATTTCAAGCCTACTGACATCTTGTTTTCTACAAACTGAGGGGCCAACTCGAATCAAAGGAGATGAGCGGGAACCTCAATCCCCGGACATGTTTTATAAGGGACAACCATTTCCGTTTTAAGAACTTTTGGTCTCGAACAAAAAAATTCCCCACAAAACTGTTTTTCCTCTCTGAATCCGTTAAAGGTATTCTTCCACCAGAGCTCTAATAGATCCTTATATGGTTTCCAATTGATGTCAATTTGCAAGATTCAAACCGGAATCGAGACTTCTCTGATACCAATGATACTGAACAAGTAGATTGGCTGCAGGGATCTTGATATTTTGGAAGTTTTGCGAAGAAGAAAAGTAGGTGAAGAAAGAGAATGAATTTGAGGATAATACTCATTATATAATTTCCTGCCCCATTTTTTGTCCCACAAGTACTTCTCTTTCCCTCAAATTCTGTAGCTTCTAACCACATATGCCACCTCAGCATAAAAGACTAGCACGGGTAAAGCACCTCTCGAAATGGAAAGCTAAAACATTAATTGAAGTAAAATAACACTAGGCAATTAATTATTATCGAGATATTATCTTCTGTAACAATAAGTAAACTAATAACGCAAATCCGGCAGTGTTTCTTGGATTTCAATTAGGTTCTGGTGCATTTGTGCATAACTGTGTGGCCAGGGTTCTCGGTTCATGCCTTTTAATTTGTTTCCTGATAAACTACTGTCAGGGCTGTAGATTACAATCAAAACTGTTATTTTTACATATATGTTTAATTGTTTTTAGATGGAGCCATCTCTGTCATCTCTTGCATACAAGGGGTCTGTCACTGGAGCAATTTGTGAAGCCAAACAGCAGAAGAAACTTTTCGTAGTTTACATCTCAGGTGAGAGATAGAGTTTCTAGTTCACTGCATGTTTTCCTGCACATGTTAAGATAAGTGGTTTTGTTTACTGCAAGATGTCCTGCATGCTATAGGATAAGCTGTTCTGTGTACCAAAGCTTAGAATTGCGGTTTAATCATAAATTCATAATCCATCAAGTTAATCACAGATTAGTCGAAGTAACCTAGAAGTTTTTATACAGTTCTTTAACTTCTTTTCACCTTCCCTTCCCCTCCATGGCTTCATCCTCACCCCCATAGATTTTGTTTTTTAAATTTTCTCCATTTAACCAGCACCGACTCATATATAATAGCGTATTTGTGTGCATATTTTATTTTCTGTATACGTGCTTATCCATCTATTAATATTACACTTGTGTGCCAACAGTCATTAGTGACTAGAGGGGTATAAGAACTAGGATTCATGTTTCATCAAATTATGATTATCTTATGACCTTTCCCTTCTCCAAATCACATTCCTGCATCCATTTAAGTATTATGTTTTCTTTAGTTGTCTTGTTCTAATAGTTGCAGTTGAATCCTAAAGGGAAAATATATTGGTTTTTTGTCAGATGAATTTTTAGCACCTTGATCTCAACTAGTTGGGTTGGAAGCATTAAATTTACATCTCTAATTAATTGTCAAAGATGATTTTACTCATAGTCACATAAATCGCGGTACGTTTCGGTACGGGTACGAAATTCGCTAGAGGTAACGAATTCGGTACGAAGGGGGGTAGGTTCATTTCGGTACAAAGCGGTGCGAAGTGGTACGGTGTACCATGTATTCGGTTCGGCGTACCAAAAGTCAAAACATAAGTAAACAAAAATAGATAAAAATAAGTATAATATTTAATTGTGATTTGAATTTTAAATTAAATATTAAATTATGAGAATGGGAGAGAGAAATATTTAATTGGGAAAGTGGAACGTGCCTGGGAAGTGGAACATACCAAGACTTGGGAAAGAGAAATCGTCGAAAAGGGAAAGAGGCAAACTGGGAAGAGGAAGTCGACGTTGCTTTGCTGGGAAGAGGAAGTCGAGGAAGTCGCCATTGGTACGCTGTACCACCGGCGATGGGTGCGACGTACCTAGGTATTTGGATTGCCGTACCATCGCGATTGGGAGCGCCCTACCATCGCGATTGGGAGCGCCGTACCATCGCGATTTGGATCGCCGTACCGGTTGCGATCGGATCGCAAGCGACTTGCGATTGGGTACGAATCTTACCAATACGGAAGTCGCGGCTCTGGGAGCGAATTCTGTGACTATGATTTTACTCTATAAATTCATGCCAAAACAGAGAAAGACGATGTGATACATTGGAGGTACTTCCGATCCGGTCGCAACCTGCTTAAGAAGGAATAATGATATGAAAATTCTTAAACTGTCATCATCAATCATCATAAAATATTTTCACACGCATGGAAAATCATGAAACAGGCTAGTTTGTTGTCATATTGTGAAAGAAAATATTTGCACAGGTAAAGAGGAGAGCCTACCAAAAGCATTGGGGGATTTGCCCTTGGTGACAGAGTTTTGCACTTCTAACTTAGCAAAAATATTTCGTTACACATTTTGGAAAGGATGCACTTTCCATGAACAAGGAGTAAGGAACCTCAATGATCAAATTCCAACACATAAATGTCTAAACAGTAAACACAATTCCCATAAACATTACAGATAAGGAAAAAGTGAAAATTTACTAAACACCTAAAAACCAAACTCATCATGCAAACTGACATAGAGATGAAATTGATTGATTTGTAGATTTAAGTTATTATCAACTCAAAACTACCATTAACAATTACTTTGACACATAAATCCATTCTTTAATGCACATTTAAATTCATGGGTGGTTAAGTGGTTTTGGGATGAATTGCCCAAGAACTGTGTGAAAAATAGTGATTATGAAAGGAGGTCAATATTTGATGATAATAACATGAATAAGAGTGATTAGGGTTGCTTATCTTATTAGAGTTGGGCTAAGCCAATCAGGGTTAAGGTGAGATACTAATTAAACAATATTAATATTCTACAAATTACTTCAAGCAGGATCATGTAAATTATATATTCCTAGTTTGTTAGGATTGCACTCAATCTAGGACCACTCAATTTTTGGTATTGAGTTCATAAGATGGCTACATGGTTTGTGGAATTCACAGAGCTTGTAACAATGCAGATGTGATCTTCTCTTTCAATCAACTTTAATATGTTCTGTTGATGAGTATGATTTAAATTAGGTATTCTCCAAGCGACTGGTTCAACATATTCAATTTCTAAAATATGATGTGAATATGTGATGTACCCCTGGACCATCCCACATAAACAAACCCTCTCCCATAATATCCAAGAGTCTTTTATCTTGTTTTTAGTCCAAAACAAAACCTCCCTAAGTCCTCTTACCCCTGGCCGAAGTTAGGGAAAAGAATAAAATCATAGTTCTCAACTTGTATCCTTTAAAGTGTTTAGAATTCTTCACTATTAGTCTTGATCAGCATTTTCCATCACTTGGTTGAAATCATCACCTCTTTTTCACCCAAGAATCCAGTCTTTTTACCCTTTACGTTAGCTGGCCGAAATCATCACCATGTGTAGACTAAGACACCAAATTCCTTATTCTCAGCTTAAAGTCCTCAAAGGTTCAACACATGTCATTCTAAAGCACATGGCCGAAATTGCTTTTTAATAATCACCCAAGAATAGTGTCTCTTACCTTCTTGAATCAGCCTGACCAAATCATGAGTAGGAAAGAAAACAAAATCATCAAAGTCTTCAATCTGATCACCAAAATTCAACACCAAGTCCCAATCTGAAAATGCATCATTCTAATAATAAATGCAATTCTGTAAATAAATTGAACTTTCCGAAAATGCATTACTACAAGTGTAAAATGCATCACGACAATTTGAAAATGCATGATTCTCATATTCGCACAGTATGGATATTCTCACCTGAACCAACCTCTATTATATTTATATATAAAATTTTTAAATATGCTTGAAACACTGGTCTCACCACTTGAACCAATAACGGAACTGGTTCGATCATCTGTTCGGTTTGAAAACTATGGACTGAACATCAAGAGTTGGTTTATTTTGCAATATGAGATTAATATTCAAGAAGGCCTTTGCAACATGAATATCAATTACCACCTACTGCATCCGCCATCTCCACCTGTGGATCAAATGTTTTCAAGACTATTTAATTTGTTATCAATATAGAGCCAACTTTATTGGTTGCTATTTGTTTGTCCTCAACAACTGTGTTGCCTCCACCAACCCAATCTCTCCCAACTCCTTTAGCGTTTTTACCACATGCACATCCTGTAGATATTACCAAAGTTGTAGTTGAATCGCTAAACGCCACAATCAAACAATCCAATATTTATTTTGCAAGTAAGATTTTGTGGTTGATTCTACACATGCCACATTGTAGGATGATGGTGTACTAAATGTCTATTTCACTACTAGTGAGCAATATCCAGTTGTGCAAAATTCATCCATTTGGGGTAATCTCACTAAGAATGCCAGGCTTGGTGGGGTAATCTCAACGGCCGATTCTTTGATTTCCTTCAAGTGGTGTACTCCTCTAATTGAAGGCTTGCAATTGATGCATCGGGGAAAGTGCTGGTGCAACACATCTCTCCAAGCTTGAGGACAAGCTTGATGTCCACGTGGGATGGATTGATAGTATGATACGGTGTATTGAAAATGAATTTCTGGTCCAAGTTTATGAATTTGGGACAGAGGGAGTAATTATTATTATTTTATTATTATGATTATTATTATTACTATTAATATTAATATATTAGTAGTTGTACTAATACCACTACTACTATTACCATGACTACTACTGCTACTATTATTGTTGTTGTTGTTAATAATAATAATAATAATAATATTATTATTATTATTATGATTATTATTATTATTATATTCCTTTCTTTGTATTAGTAGTATTAGTAGTAATAACAGTAGTAGGACTCTATTTTACTATAAGTAGAGTATACATTCCTTGTAGCAATATTCTACTCCATTTCAGAATAGGACTTTATTAACTTGCTCACTAAGGCTTTTAGGAGAAGTATAAGTAGAGGTGTTATGTTCATTAATAAAATCACCAATGGTTATACTCAAAACTCTAATTATGAGATGCTAGTTACGGGCTGCTCTCTCCTCCTTCTATTCATAGGCAGGGAAGGATCAATATCTTCTTCATCTTTTACGTTCGTTCCTACGTTCGTAACACCTTACCCTTTTAAAAAGAGGTGATTTTTGTTAGACCTTTGGTGTATTGATGCATTAACTACCCAAAACTTTATAGAAAACAAATAGCAAAACAATTTTAATGCAGTATTACGATTTAGTTCATTAATTATTCAATGCTAAAACATTGAAGATAATGACTCTCTTAGCTCATTAACAACGAACATTATACACCATTAATACCATACAAATTGGCTCTTTAAATTGTGGTCACTTCTTTTATTGCGAGGTAGCAATTAGTCAATGCAACTTTCGACGCTCATCACGAGTCATCTTGGAAACAGCCGCTCTATGTTTTAAACATAGGGGTCAGGCTCGAACTCGTACATCTGACCCCCCACCCTTACCTCGCAATGGGCGGGAGCCTTTTAGGCCCTGGAGTAATGTTATTGTTGCTTAAGCGTAACTGCATGATACATTGTCATTTTCATTCCATATTTCAATTTATGTTTTTTTGTAGGTGATAACTCAGAAAGTAAGCATCTAGAATCCTCCACATGGTTGGACGCTCGAGTAAGTTTTTTCCACTTGTCCTAGTCACAATGGCAAAAATATCATTCCTGTAGTTAACAATATGCTTTGTTCAGGTGGCAGAGTCTGTATCTGAGTATTGCATTTTGTTGCATATTGTGGAAGGAAGTAATGATGCCATGAATTTCTCAGCATTGTGTATCCTTTTCTGACGTGTAAATATGCTTTCTAAAAATAAATCTTAACTCACAAATATGGTGTACTGAAAATGAAATCTGGTCCAAGTTCTGTAGTCAGCTGCTATTAATAGTCATACCTGGTAATTCGATTGAAAATAAATAAGAGTAATTTTGTCTTCTAAAACTTAATCCTAAAAGGGATCTTAATGTTTTGTTTAATTTAAAGGGGTAATTTTAAGCCACAAATTGATTATACCTAGTCGATGACATTTTGTTCTTCTTATTGCCTGTCTTGTTGCGTCTTCCTTCGCGTCTGGGTGCTCATCTTCCTCTTCTTTGTAGTTGGCAGGGCATCTTTGTAGTAAGGATTCTGACTTTTTTAAATTTGCAACCATGTTTTTTCTTTTTCTGTGTTGTCTTCCTTTTTTTCACCAACATTTCTTTTACTTGGCTTTCATTATTGGGCCAACATAGATGATGGTTTCTTCTTTGGTGTCGGATAATTCATTTTCACCCAAAAGAGAACATAAATAAT